TCGTACCCATAGATCGGGAGGTGGTCTCAGAGAGGGTGAGGAAATGCGTTGAGCAGCAGTCTGACATGCTATATGAAAGCGAGGTCAGGAAACTAGGAAGATCTATCAGGGAGTTTGTGCCCACCGCATCAGCTCTGAAGATGCTTAGGGGGCTGCAAGGCTGCCGAAATCTCTGGGGACTTATTTCAGGACAGAGCCGGCTGCGATACTGCCGAAGCCGAGTTGATGGGGGAAGTGATGAATGTCCGAACTGCGACGCTCAAGTCACGGAGGATGTGAGACATTTTTTGTACGAGTGCGAGCGATGGAAGAGCCAACGGGAGGCATTAATTCGAGAAGTGAACCTGCGAGGGCTAACGTGGCCTCCCCAGGGGGAGACTGTCATCAGAAGCCGGGATCTGGCGCTGGTACTCGAAGGGTTTCTGCGAAGGACTGGAAGGGTCTTCAGAGACTAATGCCGCCTGCCCAACGCCGAGGATGAGTCATCTTGAATGACCGTATGGGAGAAATACGGGACGAAATGGAACTCAACGGAGCGGAGACTAACGAGCAGCAGAAGGGCGGCTACAGAAGGAATCATGTTGGCGGCAAATGGCCAGAGAATGGCCGTGCCGCGTCCAAGATTGAGAAGAAGAAGAAGAAGACCAATATTCCAAGAGACGTTGATTCGTTTGATCAGAAGAGTCGTTGTGTTCTTTTACATATCTTATGTAATAGTATATGACTGAACTGTTCCCACTCCGTTGCAGTGAGTACTTGCGCAACTCTTCACCAGAAAATCCACGCAGCGCCCATAATTGACATCTGCGATTAACTGTAACACACAGGCGAGGTCTGTGGCAGTAGTCACTATCCTGAGAACTCAATCATACGACGAGAGTGTTGTCACGGCTGCTGCGTACAAACTGGTAAAGCGTTCAGCAAAGAAAGGAAAAAACAAAGATAAAACTGCATCACTTGCTCACTAACTGGTCGATATTTGCTATCTGAACCTGACTTAATACGATCTGTCAGATGTAAGAACGGCAACGAAGCCTACCCCTGTGCATGCGACGACGAGCAATATGCCTAGAGCGAAGAGTGCGACAGGAGCGGCGTTCCTCTTGGTCCAAAGTGTAGATCCAGCAGGTCTCGACTGAAACACGAAGAAGGGTGATGAAAGGATAGTAAAACCGTGTGTAGTTACATTGACGAAGAACAGCGGAGGCAACACGAATGTGATGATATTACAAACAGTTGACCCGAGAAAGGCAAAAACGACCTGAAAACGAACATTACTTGGGGATACACATGTGAGCATAGCACCTGTATGTGGGGCACTGCGATAGCGCAGGCAAGAGATGTGATGCAAAGAAGCAGAATCTCCGCTACACCTGAGCAAGACAACTTCAGAGGCTCCTCGTGCGCTCATAAAAGTTTGTGTCAGATCCCAACAATGCAAGACGACCAGCCCGGCCTCCCTCACTCCAGAGTTTGCTGCCGATGCCCCCGCTGCGATGGTTGGCATCACCGCGCAGTCCTCCGAGCAAGCTCTGAAGGGATTGATAACATGGTAGGACCAAGAGAGGATAACTCAGATCCAGGGTGAGATAGAGACCGACTCGCACTATGTTAACCACGAGACCTACAAGAAAAATCGATACAAAGTTTAAAACACGTTACTGCTAGTACTATCGCTCGGGAAACTGAGAAGAATATCGCCACTCACGCCACCTGGCATATCATAGGCGTAGATATATCTGAGCACATAAACGAATCCCTACGAGGTATATGAACGGTCAAGTCCTGGATAAACGCACGGCCGATTGGGACTCACCCGAATACTGCGAATGCTACATACATGATAGCCACCGAAACCATTGACCAACGTATCGCCTGACATCAAACTATACCATCTTAGTTTCGAGCCACATGCTACCTCATTTGCGCGCTTCTTCGTTGGCGCTCGCATTTCCTTTGCGACGATCGGTGGGATCTGTCCGAGACAATAGGACGAGAGTTGAAGGAATTCCTTACATTAAAGTGACAAAGATAACTAACGCTACTTATCGAGATAGCAATGAATGATGAGGTGCCGCTAAAATACTTGACCGAGACAGCAGAAACCTGCCAAAGAACCACACTGAGTTGTGTCAGGACAAGGTTGTTTACCGTCTCCGAGGACTGCACGTGGGATGTCCATTGGACGGGCTGTTCTATAATGCGAATAACCGACAAGAGAACAACAGCGGCAGTGAGGGCCTGTACCAAATTTGACAAAACGACACCCGTAAATTCCGCGTACCAGCATAGCCACGATGGAGAGAACTGCAATCCATTTGAAACCACTCATGTTATCCCGCAGACAGTACGGAAGAATCACCAATAATGAGAGCACTTGTATCTGTAAGCAATAAACGCGTCAACGTTAGTGCCAAAAGTTTCTCGAAAAACTGCCTGAAACGAGAATTGATACAACAATTCACAACTGGGAGAGAGGAGAAATAGCAACGAACAAACAACATTTGAATGAGTGCGCTTAAGAATGAAGAAAGCACATCAAAGATATACTCGGGAATACCAGACATGGTGTAGTTGAGCTGAGATTTCGGAGACCCCGAGATTTCTCCAGATAAAGATGGAAAACAAATACATTTCATTTCAGGAAAAACTTTCGTGTCCCCGCTGGCAATGATGCAACTTGATCAAGACACAATGGACAAGATATGGAGAACCGGTTGAAACACTAATCACTTCCATCTAGTGATATTGAGAAAAGTTATCTCACGCTAAAACAACATATTGCATATTCATCCCATATTACCCAAAGTCGAAAGGCCCAATAGCCCCCGACGAACACGGTGATACCAGGGATGATCCATTCCAAGACCGGTACCATCATATCCGCCATGACGATCATGTACGAGCCCATAACCAACCACGTTGCTGAGACACACAAGATCACAGAGCCAGTTGTTGGCGAAAGAATATTACTCAGCGCGATACAAGCGGAGGTCATCATTTCTGCCCATGCTCCACAGGTAGCCCTCGCGAGCGCTCCATAACTGATCGTCTCAGTGCCTGGGGAATACGATGAGCTACAGGGTGATCTGCCCGCAGACCTACGCTTAGATGCTTCTATGAGCAATTCGCCAGAGTAAGAGCTCAGCACTCCAATGCCGAGCAGAATTAAGGTTCCTGAATAAACTTGGTTGTCTGCTCATACAGCGTGTAAGTCTAAGGATGCTAAAAACTCTCTCAAAGAGACATGAGCATTTCTTTTCTTCTCGATCTCACAGTAACTCTACGTACGACCTACGATAGTAAACCAGAATCTCACCTATGATCAGACCACTCTGAGCCATGGCATAAGGTAGACTGAGAACTCCTGCGCCAATAGCCGTGCCTGAATTCAGAATTCGGAGAGCAAGTCCAGCGAGGTATTACAAACAAGAGCGTAGGTGACATCCTTGACTTCCATCCGACTCCAACTCTCTTTAGTTTTGCCTTGATCATACTCAAGTTGACGATCGAATGCTTGATCAAACTCTTCCTCAGATAGCAGACCGGCCTAAAGTGGGTAACAATTCATCACAATAACAACGCGAAACCGAAGTTGGCTTTCACCACTCACCGCAGAGATGGAAGTATAAAACGAAACTACCTCGCAAGCTGAGATTCTCGCGAAGTTCATTCTAATACCTGATAATCCCTAACGAGGACTCTTGTACCGGAACTTTGTCCGGAGGCGACATACAGTTGCTGCTCGTCGCGGGCGAGTAGTCTCTCGTTCAAGCCAGTTGCCTCCACCGAGCCGGTCATGAAGGAGCTGAATAATCCTCAATTATTCTAAGTGAATAAACGTGTGGAAGAGAGCAATTTTTATACTCTTCGAGAATACTTTCTAGTAGACACTAGCGCTCCATGATTACACACTACCCTGTGTACGGGCTGGACACATTTATGTCCCACTGCAGGATTGTACCAGTGAACGATCCATCGTAATCGGATTAATATCTAAATGAAAACATCTGTTCACTACAGATCTTTTCCCCAGCACTAGCACAAGATCCGCGAAAAATTCGTTGCGATGTGAAAATTCTTGCTCTCTCGCGCCATCTCGTGCTTTCTCAGCGGATCCTTGATTTTCCATTTCCGGATGAGTGATTTCTATTAACCTATTGTCGGTTGAAGGATGGATCCTGCGAACCATTGATCAGGGGATAACCATTGATCAGGAGAGTGAGTCTATATCTCCTTTGCTATCCTCACCTGCTTACAGAGCTCTCATATACTAAGAATCGTAGTCCGTCGTGCAGCCGTTTCGCTGTCACAAAGTAGTCTCGACGAAGTTGTTAGGGTATTCTCGCGGCATGGTGCGATGGAGAGCACCCCTAGAACCTCGTTCTAGCAGAAGCTGATGATTCGTGGCTCGCATGCTGTTGTCGATCTCGGAACTTCGACTCGGATAATAGATTTTCCTTCAAGGAACTTCTTTGATGTTTCAAAATGAGATGTCAAGTATTGCATCGCCCTTTCCAACACTGTATTGGGCTATATCGCTGTCAGTAGCATTGAATCTGAGTATTTCAAGTCTTCTCATGTTCTCGCCGAATCGCATGAATAAAGGAGTGGTAAGGGTGGTGCCCGTGATCGAGGTGAGCCCGATCAGCACGCTCGACACCAAGAGTGGCAACACAACAGGTGAGGTCCTCCCTGTCTCATTTGACTTCGATGAGACCATTTCTTTCCGTAATCCGGACATGAATTGAATTCGATTGTTTAGGCGTGTCCGACTCGTCCTCTTCTGCCAAGAGAAGGAATGGCCGCCGATCTCGTCGGCGCAGTAAGTCTCACAAGGTATGGGCGTTGATTCTTGCCGGTGTCGATTGTTACTTCAGTCGCTCGCCGGTTCCTATACGATGTCCAACGAGAGATCACAGCATGAGTCAAGAGTTAAGCTGGTGAGACCGTATTGCCGGTATAAGGTTACCGCTCATGCGGAATTCTGGGCTAGGAACAGTTTGCACGCTTTAGATGGATGTGGACATGTGTTCGAGAATTTAAGTGATGTTCGGTGTGAAATGTGTCGCTCTGTATTTTAAGCATGATGCCAACTAGAAAATTCACTGGAGTCCCTGCTCAATCATCGGTTATCGTAAAGTCGGTGGAAGGTGAACCCTGCTCGACGCTAGTTGATGACAGTGCTATAGGAGACAGCACAGTTATAAGTGCCTGCGCCCGACTGAATGACTCACAAAATGATGGTTGGTAACTGGCTAGACTAGAAGATATAAGGAAGTACTCGTGACGTTCTTGGATGCTTTTTTCTGGTGAACTTGATGAAATCTAAGATTTTTGTGCTCTTGTAATATATGTCATCGCCGACTTGAGAGAAATGATAGTGCACTTTACTAACTACATGCGTTCCCTGTCCTACTGACGTGTCTCAGACTCCGGCTTCGGCAGTTGATGCTGCAGTAGCTCTATCGGCGTTAAGACGTCTTGTTGACCATTGCGGTTGGAATGAGAAGACGAGGAGCATTGTGGGGAAGGAGGCATGGACACTTTTGCATACAGAGCGAAGCACTCATAAAAAACTTCTCCTGAGGGTATCATAGTTCTCAGCAAGTCTCGAAGTTGTCATTGCAGACCCCGATGGTCGAGGATTATGGCGCTGAGCTCCGGAGAGAACTGCGAGATGCTGCCACCGCTGAGGATTGACAAGGTTGATTGACAAGGCTGCGTGGGCAGGATACAAGTGAGCAGCTTGTGAATTTCCCGATAGTATTTGATTCTATGAGATCGTCATTCTGCTAGAGTGCTTTCTGTTACGCAGGCACGAGGCTGAGATGGGCATGCGTAAGTTGCTGAAATTAAATTGAGTGATTTTGAGTTCGTCTGTCACATGATGGTAGCTGAGAGTTTCCATTATTAGAATACGAGATGAGCTCTTGGCTACTACAGGTCAATTAGGTCAATTACAGTAATTGAAACTCTCTGAATCATTCGGGATACAACCAGCGTTGTAGTATTGAGCTGCACTTTTACTAAGTAGTGTTAAACCTTGTTTCGCTCGTTTATACTGATACCTGTTGATGATAGAACAGCGAGTAATTGAGGGAGGTTTGGCGTTTGTCGGCTAGAGTTTGTATCATCATTTGTGCAGTTGTTCGACATGTTCCGACGACCCCAGCAAGGAGCAAGCCATGCTCTCATGCTGCCACCTGTTGGGTATAAGTTTATACCCAAAAGTGATAAAGTCTGCGGTGCACCAGGCTGTTTTGAGTGTTACGACATCTATTGCCAACGCTGTGAAAGTAGTGCTGGGCCGATCTAGTTGAGATGTGGCAGTTTCGGCCTTCGGTACATTCTCAAGTGTTCTCGGTGATAACTTCGCTCATCCATCAGCTGGTCGGGTTGGTTAATCTGTGAAATCACCATACCCATGCTCAGTTCAACAGCTCTCATTATCACGTTTGACGCGGTTTAGCAGCCTTAGATCGGTCCGTTCGGAACGTTTCGAACTTGTCGAACTAGATTTGGAATATTTTCGGGAGCTATGTGAGATGTACTTGCTATGGTTTTGATTTCTACTATGGATATGCCCGTCCCTGGTTGAAATGATTAGTCGATTCGTTGCTAGGTAAGGATCGTCGTATAATGGAGTTGGAGATGCGGAATAATGACTTGTGCAAGAATCTCACACTGCTGCAGGGACAGCTGTTCGCTAAGATTCAACAGCAACAACGTAAGAGATTTTTCATAACTTTTCTTAATAGGTCGTAATTTGCTTATTCTGTCGTTCCCCTATGGCACACATTGTGTGGTCCCGATCGACAGTACACAGTGTGACACTAGTGAGACACTCGAACCATGTGTGCCGCTAGTTTGTTTTGCCGAGGTGCCTGAGTATCGGCAAATTGTGGACGCTCAGTTTTTGTTCGTGCAGATGGTCCTGTGGAGTCTGCTGTGGCGGCGGACAACACATCTTCGTCGCAGCCCACATTCCGTCCCGGCGGACCGCCGTCTACTAGCATGAAAGTGAGTTAGTTGCGTGGCGCGCGAGGGAGTGTCGTATTATTTCAGGATGCTTTCGCATATGTTCAGTCACCAGTTTTACATGATCCTGTGTCTAATAGAAATTATGTCGCAACGACAACATACACCTCGCCATAGTAACCATGCTCTCAAGGTAATGTGCAGTATGCGCGAAGTTTTGAGTTCAGTCGTCAACTAATTTGAGGGGTTTTCAGCCATTCTGTGGGTTGTACTATGCAGTCATCATCATCGCGAGGGAAATCTCGGCAGTCGCCCGCACGTCCTACGTCATCGAGGATTGGTTCATTCTTCCGCATACTGTTTGCAGTTGTCTTAACAGCATGGTGGATATGGATAATATGTCAGCTGCTATTCTCAAGGGACGTGGTAGGAAGGGAATGGTATTTAGTGACCTCATGAAATGTCTGAGCTCAAATCGATAGCGTCACGTCGTTGGTGTGGTATGTGTGCGGCAAACTTTTGTTGTCAATATTTGTATTAATATGGGTCGTGTCTGTGTAGTACGCATCTGTCAGAATCTTGGTTTCTGTCCTCGTTTCATCAACTCGTGTTTCCTGTTCGCTTTCTCAGATACGTCAGTTACTCGAGAGGACGTCACTCGCCGTAACTGAGAGTCGCCATTTGGTATCGGAAACGTGGCTGCTAATGAAGGAGTTTGCCAGAGTTGGGAGGTTATGGCTGTAGTAACGGGAATGTGGGTTTGTGGATGTGGGAAGAATAGTGTTCACTGTCGGAGGAGTGCGATTCGTTTACAGATAGTGCCCTGGATTGGCGGATTCGGAAACTTTTTATCAATCTTAGGTTGATCACGTAGATTATAATCATATTATGAATAGCCTTCGTGGTGTATTCTACTGCTTGGTATTTTTTGTTGAAGCTGGTATCATACTCTCTTCGAAGATATGCCTGCATGTCTTCAGATTCGTGGTTGCCCCGTTCTTCATGGACTTATGGAGTCTCGCGGTGGAGGTTACCTGGCCTTTTTTGAGGAAAACAATTTTCCCTATTTTCAGACAGTAAGTTCACGAGTCACTGCCGGGTCGATCAGTGTGTCTACTTACGGGAACTTGAGCGCTGTGACGTTATCATGTTCGAGTAATTCGATATCCTTATGATACGCTGCAATGAGCATCGTTGGTCTCTATAAAGGCCCTTTTATGGGACGTTCTCTTTACTTTCATTCATTGCAGTGTTCATAGGTATGTCGTTCCCGTGGCTCGCGACTACGTCTGGCCATTCTTCGTGGTTAGAGTATGGCCACTTGTGGAGAAACTACCGCTGGATCTCAGAGTGGCGTTTTTATGGGTGACTTTGGTGTTTCCTGGGAACTCAACTGAGCGATTCATTTTATAGATTCTTGGAGTGTTGATGCTGAGGAGGCTCTACCCCAAGGCGAGGCATCTCACTATTCTGCCTATTGCTTGGTTCATATGGCGTGGATATTACTTTTTGGTACGTGACTCATTTCGGGAGTCATCGGAGCAGAAATCATATGCTTATTCAGTTGCCCGAGAAATATGTTAGAGTTCCGCTTATTGTCGGTGGTACCGTCCTTCCACTGGTGGCCAGTTTGAGAATGTAACTCGGAGGCTCGTAATCTTCAACGAGTATTATATTTCGCGGAGCAGATACTTCAACACCAATAGCGATTCATCTAAAATCTCGCTCGATCAGCGAGCCTTGTTAAGATCATATCTTTGTTATTGGGTGCTGTTTCCGGTCATGGTAGCAGCCGATTACACGTTTGTGACTTTCTTGAAGACCCTAGCTGATCATGATGTAGCCACAAGAATGAATTATGGTTACAACGCTGGTTGTCTGGTAAGCTCTTGGGGTCTCGAGAGTCGCACTTATACCTACATGATTCCATACATTCTCTCAGGTGTTGCTTATATGGCTCGTTGGTTATGGTGGAATACTCCCGGCATTTGAGTTCACACGACGAGTATTATGGACGTTGATGGGCCAGCAGATGTGGGTGTTGTGCTCAGCAGGAAGCAAGTATTTGAAGGAAAAAGTGGACGAGCATGGTAGTTGGGAAAAGAAGTGCGTACGATTTATTAGCTGCCCCTCATATCCCGTAGCGTGGGAACAGGTTGATACGCACTGGATAATGCTCTATTGATCCCGGGAATTCTTCCTGACGAGTGGACTAGATCGCATTTGACATGATGATTTTCCAATGTATAGGTGCTCTTTGGAAGATAGGCTTGTACTGGTCGAAGTTTCAACGTATTGTCACTGCGAATTCCCGGACGGTCGGATTCGTTTACAAAGTTGGCGTCATCGCTTTGGCCGTGGTGCTGCTGTTGTACTATGCTTACTCAGTACTAGGGAGGAAATAGCGACTTCACTACGTTTCGCCGAGTTGGAGCAACTTGATTCGTTCCATACGTCTTATTGTGGATCAGTTAGTGCTCAGGTTTTGATGCGGCTCTTCGCATTTGCAGTATGGCCGTGGTACATCGTGGAGACTGGCAAAACAGTTTCCAAGAAGGCTCACTGGGATTATCGGTATGTACATAGTTCAAATGGCCTAGTTCCGGGAATGTTGCGGGATCGCTAAACCGCTCTCATGTCATTGTTTTCGACACCAGGGTTCTCACGGTCTCTAGCGATTTGCTCAATACAGTAGTCGGGCTCTAAATTCGCAGTTTTCAGGCCTTGCTTGGCGTTCGCTCTGCTGTTCCTCTCGACTGAGCTTTTACTGGCCCCACGACTGATCTTCCCTTTCTCAACCATGTTCAACATGGCTCACATGCCCATTGTAAGTGACATCTCATCGTCGCTCATTGGAGATATCACGAGGCAGTAACTTGGATTCACATCCTTCCTCAGGTTTTTGGTTTGAAATACTTCGGAGAATTCGTACTCGACTCGGCTGGAGAAGCTATCGTATTTTTATATGCGAAACTCATCCCAAACGTTTCTGCTAAATCCAAGGAGAGCGCGATTTTGAAGGTTAGCAAGCGTTTTGGAGGGGTGGAGAGCGCCAAGGCCACGGACGATGTGCAGAAAAGAGTTATGGCGTTGAACACGGAAAGCTCGAATGAGGTCGTGTCGGATCGAGAAACGGAGACCACTGTTCGAGTGGCTCGTGAAGGGGAGACTCACCCAGAGGAAGGAAAAGAGGATGCACCTGCTGAGGAAATGCATGAAACCAAGAATCTGGAGAAGAGCAATGATGAGGAGAAGAGCAATGATGAGGTTACCAGCATCTCCAAGAGAGGTGACACTCATTTTAAGTTGATTAGTTTTCAAGAGAGGAACGTGTCAGGTCCGCGAAGATCGTCTAGGCTGTCTTCTGTGAGGCAGCGAGCCTCTGCTGGTGGTTCGAGATCTCCATCGGTCGACTGAGTATTTTTGCCGGTTCTGTTGTCGGTTTTTGTCATGTAAGATTCCTATCTATTTCTTCTTGGCATGCGAGTTCGTGTTTGAATCAATGTGTCGAAAGCGGGTTGGCGGGAAGCTCGTCACGTGTTCCGTGTCACGCGCTTCATCCGATTGTAAAGGTATTCGTCAGCTCGCGCAGTCTTTGAAATTTAAAGCATCCAAAACTTGGATTCGAAATATTGTAGAGGGTCCCCGGCGTTACCGTGGAAAAAATATGGCAGAGACTTACCGTAGAATTGAAGCAACTAATTTGGTTGATTATCTGATTTGGAAATATATCTAAATTTTCGCTCGAAATGTTGATGAGGGGTCTTGGTGGCCATCGCATATTGTATAGAGAGATCTTCTTTGATTATTGGGGAAAGAGCATGTATTTGGTTCTCGTCTTACGGGAGAATGCTTGATACGTGATTCATCCTCAGTAGGTAGCGCAACGTGGCAACAGCATGGCAACAGCATCTCTATCTTCTTCGCTGGAACTGATGCACACGATTCGCCACCAGAACACTCAGTGTTTCGCACACTTCTTCGTGTGGGCACGATTATCCAATCGTGCGTCGGGAGTCCCATGGCACGTCCCATCTCACGCAGTTCGTAATTTGAAGCTTGCGGGACTACGATCACACTCCAATCATAACCCCGTTTGTCGTCCTGGTTAATGCGTGTGAACCGTCGGTCGAGAGATTGCCTACATTTGATGGGGAAATTTGGTTTCGCGCGCGGCGGAGTTCCCGCCCGTCCCTGATGCTTAATTAGCGCGAAATTCGAATTCCAATCTTCAAAAGACTTTCCGTAGCTCGATGCTGAGGCTTTGCCAATGATCAGCTTGATAATGCTGTGATTAGTAGATGATTGAGCGTTGAGATACTCCTCACTGGACCGGGCTTGTTGAGAACACAAGTTCTTATCGGGTGAACGAAATTGTGTATGTTGTATGTTGTCCCTATGAGCATGTTAGAGAATCCAGTTTTGGTACTGTTTCATCTGTGCAATGGTCTCCTTTGCTCCCGGCATCGTGACTTTATTGTTTACTTTATCTTCAGCATTGGCCATGCAGACGTTCTCCAGAGCTAAGGTGGTCGAGAGAGTAGCGTGATCTGCTATTCTATTCCGACATTTGCTTATTAGAGTGATCCTTCGGTAGAGGATCGGCTTGATCGTCTGGAACGGCAGATGGCCGATGTGGTCAGTCAGATGTCGGAGTTGACTAAGACAACGTCGAAAATTACTGGTCTTACTCGGAAGGTAAATTTTGGTAGCATTGGTTCTCGTTACGGATATTTCTACTCATCGCAGGTGAGCGCCTTCACCAATCAATGCTTCGCTCAATACGTAGATGGCTTACTGTCACTTGGCCGTACTGAGGATTATTATCGCGTGGAATGGAGCGCGAGTGAATCACAGAGGACCTCAACTTTTTGGTGATACGCACCCCTAATGAACGATTGTCCGGTCGTATTTCTCCCTCATTTCTTGCAGCAAATATGACAGCGGAGATGCGATGTTCGAGTTTGTGGAGGGATCACGCAGAGAACAGGTCGCAGGACCGTACAAGGAGTTGCTACCCCGATTCGCGAGCGTCAATGCTTTCGCTTACGTGACCTCCACCATAGATATAAGTTTGAAAAAGCACATGACTCTCGAGTCTTGCTCCAAGTTATTCGATTCCATCGAACAAAATCCTCCCCCGGGTCACCAACCTGGGGGAGCCTGGATTGGCAGTTTCATCGCCGGTCAGATGAATGAAGCAATGGATCTCGCAAGGAAATACAAACAATAGAGTGTGGCCCGAAAGATCTTCTCCGTGTTCGCATGTGTTTGATGTTCGCTTGGAGTGTTGTTGCGTTCATGTTGTTCACATGATGGTAATCTCCGCTGCGAATGCTTTGATTGGTCGAGAGATCGTGGCGGCTTCGATCGTGAGAAGTAAATCTGTCTACTCTAGTATGCTGTCGTGGTGTGTGTTGACCATCACCGATATTAGTGTCTTTCAGTTTAGTGTTTCAATGTGGCGAGAGTGAATAAACTGGTCTGTGAATGCGTTGTGAGTGACGCGTGGGCCCCGGTGATCGTTGTTGTTGATGTCTCATCGACTTGGAACATCGATGAACGCGTGGGCGAATGTGCGCTAGAGGCTGATGTGATTATTTTGGCGTGATCGGCGGGTACTTCGAGTGGAAGATACTATAGCACTGATTGTGGGTTTAGAGTGATATTACTCGAGATAGTTGAGGAAGACGCAAGATTCGTAGATCTAGGGTGAATGAATTGTCTATTGCGGCCGTTTCTCGGCGGTTTCCTCGGTGTGATATCTTTTGTTGACATCGTTCTTTCACAGTAATTTGAAACTGTTGCAGACACCAGGGCTTATGCCAATTCCTTCACGACTTACATTGTTTGAGTGCTCTTGGTGGGACGCGAATTTCGACGAGTGCAATTTTGGTTGGACATTTCTCGACTGCTATCAAGAAGTGCGTGCCTTCCCTTAATGTCGCTTCCTTCGAGCTCGAGAACTCGTCGTACCCCTCGTCCGAAGGTTGCCATGGCCGCCCCCATATCGATTCCTGAAGGTATTTGTGAACGGTTTCGTTTTGAGAATTGTTCGACTGTTCGCTTGGTGTCGTGAGAATATGAGCGAAAGAGTCGCAGATTCTTCGTATTTTCAAGATGACGTTGAAGGTCGGAATTGACCTTGCACATGGGCTTTCCCTCAGTGTTTGTTCATAACTTCTATTGGGAGTTTTACTGTCTTTTCTCCAGACAATCCTTTGGCTTATCGAGAGCAGAGCCTTGCGATGGGAGAGAAGATTGACTTCACTCGGGACTCAGTTTATACCGTACCGGCGAAGATCGCGAATGACGAGAATAACAACAGCTTACTTTCCAATGTAATGCGGTGATTTAAGTCTCTGTGTAATCGCACCTTAGATCGATTTCCGGCGCGACACGATGGAGGGAAGATATGTAAGTCTCTGGCCTTGTCGATCTTCTCCATCTTTCTGGGATATGCGGGTCCATCTCCTGAAGTTCTCATACTTGACGCTAGTTTCTTATCTCTATGATTCATTCGGCGTATACAATTTCATACTTTGACTCTTCTGTGATTTAGTCTATCACAACTCAAGGACCAAGATTCTCTGACGCCGACCTGAGTCCGAAAGACCCAGCGAGGTGCGGTGCTTTGGGAGGCCTGGAGACGATCGAAGAAGGGCAGGAAGATTCCAGAGGCTCAGCGTATGAGAAGGTAGGCGTCTCGGGTAAAGTCTGGGTTGAATTTGTTGATCAGAGTGGTAATTCAAAGCCTCCAGTTGAACCTTGGCGATCCTCAATAGCAGAATCAGACGATTTGGCGGGAGACATTGACGGAGTTGAGTGTGGCAGTCGATCGAGCGTAGGTGATTTGGAAGAAGAGTGGTATCCACGGGTGAGATCAGATAATGAGTCTGCCGCCTCTTCTACCCAAAGCAAGTCTGATTGGTTCTAACATCGGTCCCTTGGCAAGCCGGATTGATCATGGTAGGTTCTATTGTGGAACAGTTGGCTGTGTTGCATACAGGCATGACACTCGTTCCCCTTATTTTCATGAGAACGTTCTTGGAAAAATGTCATGTTAATTACCACATTCTACCAATTTCGATTCATTTGTCTCAACTTCATGTCGGCGATTGGTACATGTACGCGAATCTCATCTTGTACGACTTCTTGTGAGCGAAATTTCCCTACAGAGTCCTTAGCGAGTATCATAGCAAATCGACCCAACCGCTCCACTACAGGGGATGATGAACTCGAGGCGAAGAGGAGGAAAATGTAAGACAGATTGAATTGAATAGGATCGCCGAATGGGCATTCTGCGTTATTTGTGGAGTCTGGCGCCTCAGAATCCGGGTGGGTCTCGTTTTGATCGAAAAAATGCTAGCTGTTCTCTTACTCTGAGGAGAATTGGCAGAATTATTGAATTCCTTGGGAGTACGCGCTGAAATATATTGGTTATGCCATGCTGACTATTACATGTCTTGAGGGAAATTTTAATAGTGGATGTAGGAATTTTTCGGGGCTCAGGAACGCTCGTGAATTGTCAGGTCGCAAGCTTTAAGCTGTGCCGATGCGGACGATGATGAAGTCTATCGTCCTTCCCTGACTATGGCGAGAGCGTTGCAGAAATATCACAGTTTTGGTCATGTGTATTCGAATGTAGAAGAGTCTCAGCCGGAGAGCGAAGTGAGTGCATATCAACTGGAAATCTTGGAAATCCGTGGCACTGCAGGTTGAAGGCGGCCAAGAGTGTGAAGAGCCGGAAGTCGCAGAGGAAACCGGGGAAGAGGTTGGCGCTGGTGACAATCAAAATGACAGTGGTAGCAAGACTGAGGGAGAATCTCCGACAGTGAACCCTTCCCCGCCGAATACCGTGACTGCTTCGCCACAACGTGAGTTGGAAGGTTCGGTTCTTCCCGTTGGTTTTTTTACGCATTTTCATGTTCATCAGATATTCCTTCGCCGCCACCACCGGCTCCCACAGCCAAAGGTTCTCCGCCGATCGGTTTACCATTGATAATGGGGAAAGGAAAGGTGAACTACTCGACGTGAGGAGCAATCTGGAGTTCCATCTAGGCACCACCGCCTCCCTTGGCAGTAGGAAAGGGAAAAGCGCCTTTCCCCAGCCCACCAGGAATGAAAAATGGTGAGTCAACATGGATCTCGGCCGAGCCTCATAGGAAACGTTCAGTAGGTAAATCTCCGCTTCCGCTGAAAGCGCCAATTAAAATGGGGCCGCCAGTCGCACCCCTTCGACCTCTCTTTTGGACGAGCGTCCCGATGGGTAAGCTCTGCCCAAGCTAACTTTGAGATTCTAATGTCGTACCTTAGGTCCACGGGAGAGACTCGAGAATAACTTCTGGAAAAGTGTCAAACAGGTAGAACTCTCCAGTTTGAAGCTGATCGGTTCTGTAGTTCGCCCCCTGCTGTTTCAGAATTGCAAGATGATCGACGAAGATACGATACCGTGGTGCGCTGAATTTGTACGAGAGGATGAATTGCAGACGATGTAAAACTATTGCAGGAGGTCATCAGCGAGCGTTCAACATACCGGTCTAGGTTCGGACAGAATGCAAGCAAAGTGGCTGGAAAATCGGTCGGTAATCGATCAGTCGCCGCACCGCCTCGTCACGGGCGGAAGGTTCTCAAACTCTTGGATGACAAACGCTCTCACGTAAGCCTATAACATTATGATGCTATGCGTCGTACCGGGCTCGCTCCGTTGAATAATTCGATTTCGAATTCGTTCTATGGGAGAAATACCGATTATTTTGGCAGATGTTAGCCATCGCTTTCCGACCTCTGCCTGAGCCTGATGAGCTGGTGAAAATTATAGCCTCGGGGAATGTCGCGGCACTCACTGGTGAGGGGGGGGGGGAGCTGTTGAGGGATCCTTGAAGTCCTACTCGTGTCAGGTACTCAGCTGAGTATGCTTGCGGATGAAGTGCCCACGCCAGATTTTGTGGAAGAGCTGGCGGCGATGGAGACCAGGAGCCTTCAAGAGGGAGTTCAGACGAATCTTATTAATCTTGAGGATTAGTTTTCCGCTCTGCTCAGACTCAAGCCCAATGGGATACACCGGAACAGTATCTTGTGGCTTTATCGACCGCCGATGATGCCCAAAGTGTGTTGACAGCATGGGCATTTGGGGCGAACGTGCGGTGAGTCGGTGTGTGATCTCATCGAACTTGAGGTAGTCTACGAGACACGATCGCGATCTGTTGTTCACAGGGATGGTCTTCTGGTGGATGTCAGCAAACAGCTAGATGCTTTGGATGCCGCGTGCACTGGACTGAGAGAGTCCAGAGAATTGGTGGATCTGGTCAGGTGAGTCAGTCATTGTGAGCTGTGAAAGAGAGATCCAGAGACCATGCACGTCGTTTTCATGAAATAACCTAAAGATGAATGGCTTTCGTAGTAAATTATTTCAGAGTGATGCTATCGATCGGCAACAGAGTAAATGCTAATACAGCGAGAGGCGGGGCAGAGGTATTCACTCCGGTCGATATTAATCCTCATGAAACTTGTTATCAGATCCTCAGTATCGATTCTCTCCTGAAGTTCGACAGTGTCCGCAGTCCCTGTGATCCCACGATGACCTTGCTGAGATATTGTGTACAAACTTGGAAGAAGAAAAACGGTGGGTGATCAAATATTCGGCGTTGAGTACCCGATACGGGAAGCTATTCTCCTTTTACCCTCCCCGCAGTGTCCAGA